TGTTGGCTGAAAGAACTATTTAATACATTTTAAATCATGTTTTTATTGTGTTTTATTGTGTTAGTTAGCTGTATTTTTTGTTATTTTTTAAGCTAATCAAAATAACCCAACTGCAGTTTGATTGAGATTACTTGGAATGAGTGATTGAGATTAATTGGAATTCACAATGAAAAAAACATGATTTTTGAAAATTGTTAAAAACGGAGTTATCTGTTTTTTTGCAAATGAACTCTTCATACATACATACACACACACACATATATATATTACCCCTTATGGTATGACAAGATGCTCCCACTATTGATCAATATTTCCTAAAATGAACTGTAATTTCTTTTCTTTCTTTTTTTTCCGGAAAATATTGGTGGAAATGTTTATGTTTAATTTATTCATCCTTTTCATATTCATTCGTTTAATTAAAATAAGAAATGTTTTTGTAACTATTCTTTTGAGCTAAATCTAAAATGATGTTGTCAATATTATAATTTGCCTCCTCAGGTGACCCATTCCACATCTTTGTCAAGGCAGGTGGAATTTGAGGCAAACACAAAGGATGTGATTCCTCTCTTCTCCATCACATATGTCATTGCCATTGCATTCTCCATTCTCTCTTGTTTGAGGTATGTTAACTTGAATATTTAGGCTATTTTCTGTTTCCCAGACAGAATATTGTGCAATGTCTAGCACATGATTTTACCAGGGCTCCTGTGTAGATGTTTTTACATGTTCTCAGACCCCACATGTGATAATTAGGGGCCAAGCACCGAAGGTGCAGTGGCACCTATTAAACTGATAAGCCATTTAATCATATTACTAGTGGTTGTATTTATGATTTTTCAGCCATTTCAATTACAATCATCCTAAAATTGCTTTTATTACTCATTGTTGCATTTGGTTTGATGCTCCATGCCATGCTTAGCTCCTCAATTTGCCTCTGGAGTGCTTGGCCCCGTGATTGCTGCTTGCAGCTATATTTTACATTTTAATTGTTTTAAAATTTGAAAATGTTCTGAGTAGTGATGGGATCTCTGAATCTCGTTCAGCAAAATGAACAAATCTTAAATCAAATTTGTCAAACCTGTACACATACGCAATATTTAATCATATTACAAGTTTGGAAATCATTTTAATACACCTAAAGATATATTACGCATAGTGATTAGTTCACCTTTTCAAGTCCGTACTGCATCTTCTCCTAGTTTTTCATCATTCATTTTTCATTTTAAAGCCTGTGTATAGGAAACAGAAATGATTCGTTCAACCCACATATCCCAACTGCATTCAAAACAAATGAACGAATCTTGTTTTAAAATGATTCCAAACAAGATTTGTTCAAAACGAATGAATTAAGTTCATGTTAAAGTCTATTGACAACATCTGTGACAGTTGTTGGAACTGAGGGATAGTTGAATTTAATTGAGAGGAATCCTTAAAAAATCTAGTTTGTCTGTTTTTCCAGGTTTGACTGTGTCAGAAACAAAGCATGGGTTGCTACATTTGGGGTGTTCTCTTCTGGACTCGCTGTTCTGTCCTCTTTTGGGATGATGTTACACATTGGTGTCCCATTTGTCATGACAGTTGCTAATTCTCCATTCCTGATATTAGGTAAAACATAACTATAAAGCCAGTTGTATACAGTGTTAATGTATATTAGCAGATTAAACAGTGATTTTTTTTTAAATGTGTTTTAAATAGGGATCGGAGTGGACGACATGTTCATTCTCATTTCCTGTTGGCAGCAGACCAGTGTTCACGATCGAGTGGAGACTCGCCTGTCTAATACATACAAAGAGGCGGCAATTTCAATCACCATCACCATGCTCACAGACATGCTCGCTTTCTACATTGGCCTCATGACACCCTTCCGCTCCGTCCGCTCTTTCTGCTTGTACACCAGCACCTCCATCCTTTTCTGCTACATCTACAGCATCACATTTTTCGGAGCGTTCCTCGTTCTTAACGGACGGCGAGAAAACAGCAACAAGCACTGGTTGACATGCAAGGCAGTACCAGAGGAGTGTCCAGTGGGTCAGTCGAAGTGGTATGAACTATGTTGCGTTGGAGGCGCTTACGATTCCCATACTGGCACAGAGGAGGTACAACCAATGAATCACTTCTTTAAAAAATACTACGGCCCATTTCTGACGAAATCGTGGACGAAGGTCTTTGTGATTGTGTTGTATTGCATCTATTTGATTATCAGCATTTCTGGCTGCTTTCAAATTCAAGAAGGAATTGATCTCCGTAATTTAGCAGCTGACGATTCTTACGTGGTGAAATACTATGACAACGAGAAGGCGTATTTCTCAGAATATGGTCCAAATATCATGGTTGTCATTCGACGGGAATTTCCGTACTGGGATGAAAAGTACATGTCAGATCTTGAAACTTGCATTGTAGATTTCAAAAACTTATCTGTCATTGAAAAGGATATATTCACCTCCTGGATCAAATCATACAAGTACTACAGCAATCACACCAAACTCAATCTGAGCACTGAAGACGTCTTCAAAGATAACTTGGGAACATTTCTGCGATTTTATTCGGATTTTAAACAGGACGTCAATTTCACCAACAACTCCATCTACGCATCTCGCTTCTTCATACAGACCGTAAATATCTCTACTGCACTGGATGAGATGAATATGCTGAATAAATTAAGAGAGACAGCACAAAAGTGCCATGTTCCTTTACTAGTTTACCACCCCGCCTTCATCTACCATGACCAGTATGCGGTGATAGTCAGCAACACCCTTCTCCCTTCTCCTCATCCCAAACCCTCTGTGCTCCCTTTGGGTCACGTTTTCCATTGCATCTGTCATTGTGGGGGTCACTGGGTTCATGGCATTGTGGGATGTTAATTTAGACACCATCTCCATGATCATTCTTGTCATCTGCATTGGTTTTTCTGTAGACTTCTCTGCTCATATATCTTACGCCTTTGTCTCTAATAAGAAACCCAGTGCGAATGAAAAGGCGGTGGAAGCCCTGTTTAATTTAGGATACCCTATTTTGCAGGGGGCTGTTTCTACTATTCTTGGGGTGGTGGTGTTGTCTGCTTCAAAGAACTATATCTTTAGAACTTTCTTTAAAATTATGTTCTTGGTGATCTTCTTTGGTCTCTTCCATGGCTTAACTTTTATCCCAGTTTTTCTGACCTTCTTTGACATGTGTAGTGGCACACCAGCTAAGAACAAGTCAGGCCCAGAAGAGCAGGACATGAAGAACAGCCACACCAACAACATTCAATCAAAGGCAAAGGATGGTGAGCTGAAAGAGCGGGAAATTTATGACAATCACACTCTTCAACCAGCCAACCACCGAACATGTCAGTCTCAGCCCTGCTCTGCTATTTGGATGATAACCGGCAATAACCATCATGTTCAAGATAACCAAATGTGTATGGCAAGCACTATCCCAATGTTCAGAGTGGACAGTCAGACTTATGAGGTTCACATGTATACACCATCTGATGATGGCATGTTAAGAGTCAAATGTCCATCAAAACTTCCATGCTCGGAAGGCCAAAATTGTGTTTTAGGAAATAGCAACCACATTCAAGATTCAAGTGTGCCCACTCCTAACAGTTCTGATTTGTCCATTTTGTAAAATCCTTTACTTCTATTTCTTCCTAGAATATTCTGTTTGTATGTGTAACACCTTTTATATGTTTAAATTAAAATGACAGATGTAAATCTAAATCAACAGGAATGCAACATGACACTTTTTTACAAAAGATACATCTGGGCCAATGATTTTAGGACTTCTTATGGATTTCAGGATGTAGCCGCCCAACAGCTGTAGCATTAACTCACCATAGACTGTATTAATCTGTAAAGAAATCTTGTTAAAAATGTTTCATTTATGTGTTCATTTATGAAACACAAGAATAACAAATTTGTCTAAGTCGTTCATAAAACCATTCTTCAGTATATTACCAGATTCAATTCAATGCAACAATTTATCTAAGAATGGATTTAAGAACAATTTACACATAAAATCTTTACTGTGTTTCATGAATGAGCCCCAAAAAATATTTAAAGGGTTAGTTCACCCAAAAATGAATATTCTGTCATTAATTACTCACCCTCGTGTTGTTCGAAACCCGTAAGACCTCCCATAGACAGCAAGGTAACTACCACGTTCAAGGTCCAGAAAAGTACCAAGATGATCGACAAAGTCGGCCGTGTGACATCAGTGGTTGTAAAGTTACAAAGCTACGAGAATACTTTTTTGAGACAAAAATGTGGAATAAAGTTGTTATTTTTGTTTTCTTTGCGCAAAAAAGTATTCTCGTAGCTTTGTAACTTTACAGTTGAACCACTGATGTCACACGGACTACTTTGTCGATCATCTTGGTACTTTTCTGGACCTTGAACGTGGTAGTTACCTTGCTGTCTATGGGAGGATCAGAGAGCCCTCAGATTTCATCAAAAATATCTTAAATTGTGTTCCGAAGATGAACGTAGGTCTTACGGGTTTCTAACAACATGAGGGTGAGTAATTAATGACAGAACTAACCCTTTAAATGTCTTTTTTTTTCTTGATATGTGAATATTTTTTATTTAGTTACAGTATATATAGAAAGTACAAATATGTATCTTTCTTAATTTTTGTGAAATAATAAACTAACTGAATGCACATATGTTTGCAATGTTTTCTTATGGACTGTTGAATGTGTAAAAGCCTATTAAAGACATAACTACATATACAGATTGTAACTATTTTTTATTGGCTGATATAAACTGCTACAAAATTATTCTTGCCTTTTATTTTTTTCACTGTCTTTTAAAAGACACACATTCCCTTTGCTACTGTAGTGCACGTGCTGTTGTGTTTTCCTTGAGAAAAGAGGATTGTCTGATTAAGGATTAGCAGAACAGTGAATATTTTCACTCTTTACAATAGTTTTGTTTAATATTTTTCATTTTTATGAATGGTACAGTATTAGAGTTTTTGGAAGAATATAATTTTCTATTCAAAATTACACTTTGCTTAGTTTACACAGTTTACCATGTTTCATGAGTCTGTTGCTGCACATGTTTGCTTAAAAGCCTCGGTGGATTTACACATTTGGCAGAAAAAAGATGGGACATACCTGACCTTTGATCTCTGACTCCTTGGTATTAGGGCTGGAAAAGTATAGGTTCAATCAAATATATTCAGAATGGATGTTTATTGTTTGACATGCAATTTGCAATTCAATTTGTCACACATTATGCAATATTGTGGTTTTCTACAATTAAGCAATATAGCATTTTTCATAGGAGGTTTAGAACACAAAATAAGCATTCTCAAAAAAATCAGTCACATTTAATTTATAAGCATTATTAGGACATTTTGACTAGCCGTCCTCTTCACTATGTACAATACACAAGGTGGCAGAAAAGGAAAACAACTGTAAACATTACAGGTTCACAGAAATCTCAGAGTCCTCATCAGTGCTCTGTTTTACAAATTCAGTCAATGAGGACAGTGTACTGTTTGGATCAAGCAAAGCAACAAGAGGAATATTCACACCTATCTCTTGAAACAAGCGATTTTGCAATGTCATGGCCAACATCGAGTCAATTCCTAGTGCAGTGAGGGCAGTTTCATCACTAAGATCATCAGTATCCACACAACAAATTTCATTCAGGATCTGTCTAACACAGTCATCTACCGATGACTGAATATTTATCCTGGAGTCCTCAACAACCTTGTTTTTTAGTTCCTCCTCCACTAAAGCAGACAGGCGAAACTTGAGAGACACATTTTGAGAGAGGACATGGTTCTTTAGGTTCCTGAAACTGAATTTGCAGACCACCTGCTGGGGATAGTTGTCTAACAGGCAGTTCTCCAGTGCTTCGTGAATCTCTGACACATCCATGATCATTAACCCTTTTGTTTCCAAAAACTTTTGGAAATGGTCTTTGTCCATTAGTAGGCCTAGTTTAAGGGGTCCCCAATTGATTGACTGTCCTGCAAGTCCAATATTGCGTCGGAAGTGACAAAAAGCATCCAGAAAGGAATTAGCTGCTGCATAGTTGGCTTGTGCTGCATTTCCAATGAAAGAGGAGATTGAGGAATAGCATACAAAGTAATCGAGTGTTTGGCAGTGCAGAGTGGCAAAGTGAAGATTAAGAGCACCACAGACTTTAGGTTGTAGGACTTTTTGGAAAAGAGATCTATCGAGAGTTTCCAGTAATCCATCATGTAGAACAGCAGCACTGTGGAACACCCCTCTGACTGGATAACAGGAAAAATGTTTTCCAATCACAGTTATGGCTTCCATCACCTGCTCTGACACTGAGACATCACACTGAAGTGTGAGAATTCTTATCCCGTATCTCCTCTGGAGACTGCTTATGTCCTCTTGTAACTTTTCAGATGGTGCACTCCTTGAGAGAGTGGCAATGCATCCTCCACCCCTGTGAGCAATAAACGTAACGGTTTCAAATCCCAAACCGGAAAGCCCACCTGTAACTATGTACACGCCTCTATTTGAGAACAGCTGCTTTGTTCTTGGAAGCAAAGGGATAGCAGACACCTTGCTCGTTGAATCGTCACCAGCCAGAGCTATCAAGTCTAGAGTTCTTGCACTAAAATAAGATTCAGAATGCTCTGCAGACTGAGAATGCATTCCTTCAGGGAGCACCATCTGAAAAGTACTGCTCTGTATTGATGGGCATGCTTTGTGCAAGTGCATTCCCTTCAGCCACTTCTGTAGCCGAGCTCCATGTGCTTTAAGGCACGATTTCTGGAGGATTTTGGACATCTCAAGAGTCTGGAAGTAGGTTCTCTCACTGTCCCTCTGCATTACATCTATTGTTGAGTACCATGGCTCACGGATGCCACGTACTGCAATGATGTGATTTGCATTGACAACACTGACAATCTCTGTCAAAATCGAGCAATCGTATGGTGGAAGAATCACAAAAAGAAGACACTGCTTTGTATTTTGGACTAATCCACTTATCTCACTCTCTGTAAAAACACTCCAGCCTGATTTGCTTGCTATGAGTGTCAATAAGTTGACCAAAGCTGAATCATGAACAGTAGAGAAGATGCCTAAACTTTGCTGTTGTGTGGTCTTGGGTAATGCACGCTGCAGTATCTTCCAGATCAGGAAAATGTATGAAACACAGGGAGCGTTCTTTAAGAATGGAAGCCTTTTTATTTTGAAGCACACATCTTCTGGGAGGACAACTTTGGAAGTTGCTTTAACAGGGTAACAACAGATAACATGGTCACCCACTTTAAGTTTGTTGACATCCTTTCCCACAGCTGTAATTGTCCCACTGAAGTCAAGTGCCATGAGACTGTGGTTCTGGGTTGTGTGCTTGTTCCAGTACATCGTCTGACCAAACTTTATTTCTGAAGTACTAACTGGAAAATAATCTGATGAGTGCACACATACCTTACTCAGCTGAACCTCAATGCTTTTCCCCTCAATAGTGTGGACTGAACTTGCTGAAGGCATAGCTGATAAGCTGGTCATCCTGTAGGGATTGGTTGTCTGCAAAGTGAAGTCCCGGGGCTGTAGGGCTTTTGATTTAGCCTTCACTTCCCTAATTGTGGTGACAGGAGTATGAGTTATCACAGCAGAGTAAACCTTCCCCTTGCTGATGAAGACTTCTGGGCACTCTTGAGTCTTATGTGAGTTAAGCACATGGGCCAGTGCTTCTATATCCTCTCTTGACACTGTGGAAAGGTCAATGAGCTGGAAAGTGATGCCTGACAACTCAGTAGCACATGCCCTTGTCATGCCAGATAACACAAATCCAGGGCTTATACTTTCAACTGTCCCTTCCGCTGACCTGTATGTAATGACACGGATGGAACATGCATGACTGCGGTTTTTTAAAGACAAAACAACCTGACGGTAAAGATCACAGCTGTCTACCAAGGACTCTAGAATGAGTTCAGACTGGAGGTGACTAATATTCTGAATGCTCCAGATAAACAGGATCGTATCCAGTTCCATGCCTGCTTCACTGCAAGGAGACTTCAACAGTAATTCTGGGACTTGCAAGGCTAAGCCTTTTGTTAAATCGGGTGGAGGAACAAGTACAGATTTTGGATGCAAATATGGCTGTAAACCTTTTGCGATACCCAAGGTGTCTTCAAAGACCAAAGCCTTGATTCTACTGGGGAAATTGCTGTCAGCAAGAATGCCAACCTTCTGGTTATGAAAGAAACACGATTCCCTGATCTGTGCATGTCTTCCCAGAAAATTAATTCTGACATCCCTCAGCTCAATCAACACATGACCATCTTTGTCAGTGAAACAACCACAAACCTCAAAGTAGTCAGGCATTTCTTTGGTCAATCTCATATACATGAACATCTCTTTACAGGGAGGTGCAGCTATAACCATACTCCCAATGGCAGAGGGAAATCCAGGCCTGACGGTGCTAGAGACTAATGCTAAAACTGAGGACATTTGCAAGAAGTAATCTAGGACCACAGGATGCAAGCAATACTCATACAGATGGTTGAGTACTTCCTCTGGAATCCTGAGACTGGTCACTGCTTCCTTGAATTCTTGTCCGTAATGAATGTCACCAAGTTGTTTGAAGTTGGGCCCATACTCAAATCCTATGTCTTTAAGAGTGGTGTACACATCCTTTGTTTCAATGACTGATGGACATCTCTTTAAAACAGTGTTGAGGTGAATGGTTTGCTGTTCGATCATAGCTGGACCGCCTTCATGGCTGATGGTGCCTGATGCATGCACAGTAATAGAGGACTGAACCTGAAATGTGGTTGCATCCTTGGATGTCTCGATTGTGATTTTGAGAGGAGGGCAGTTCTTAGTTAGAACAAGCAAACTCTGAAAGTTGATTGTGAGCTGAAATGAGTTCAGAGGTCTTTTTGGAATAGCAGTTTCCATTATGGATGCAATAGCCAACTCAACATACAATGCCCCTGGGGCAATGGAGATGCCATTGTTCTTGTGTTCCCAAAGGTAGGAGGTTGTAGCTGCTGACAGGTTGCACTTGATTACTTTGCCATCACGTTTACTTGGACTTATCAGTGGATGTGGACTGCGAGAGACTGTGTCATTTCCCCGTCTTAAGTCCTCAAAGTATACCTCATTCTTTTGACATTCAAACTGATACCTTGGGAAAGCAACAAGCTCCATTTCAAACCCTTTGTAGAACTCGTCCCACTTCACATTGACCCCCAGTTTAAACAGTTTTGATACAGCTGTGAACATTGTCTCGTGGTCTTTATCTGGATGTACTGAAGGAAGCACTGTGGTGTCATTTCCCAGGATCTCCATGATGTTCCTCTGCAGAGCCCGTCTTGGACCAATTTCCACAAAGACTGTGTTCCTTGTGTGGTTGGAAACTGATTTAATTGCTTGTTCAAATGCAACAGGCTTTCGAATGTTTCTTGCCCAGTATTCACCTGTGACAAAGTCCCCTTGACGACATATCTCTCCTGTTACTGTAGAAAAAAGTTCACACTCCTTTTCATTCAGAGTTAAATGTCCAATGCTGTCTTTGATTTGGCCCAGTATAGGATCCATCATATGACTATGGTAGGCAGCTGGAACATCCAAGACATGAAGGAACAGGTTTTTACCCTTGAACATAGACTGAAGCTTCTGGTGCACATTATCAACTGCTTCTTTATCACCTGACAGCACACATGACATAGGACTGTTGACAGCAGCTAGGCAAATCTTTCCTGTGTATGTAGGGAGAATTTCCAGAACATCTGGAATAGGAACATTACCAACAACCAGCATCCTCCCACCCATCACTTTGGTCTGCAGCACACTGCGATGGTAGACAACCTTTACTGCATCCTCAAGAGACAGCAGGCCAGAGCAATGAGCTGCTGCAACCTCTCCCACAGAGTGTCCAAGAACAATATCCGGTCTTATGCCCCAGTTCTTAAAAAGGTGAACAATTGCGACCTGGATTGCAAAGAGAAGTGGCTGGACAACATTTGGTTTAGTGATATCTTCATTGTCATAGCAATTTGCGATTTTTTGCAAAATACTGGTGCATCTAAACTTCTGGAAGTAGTTTTCAACCTCTTTGACCTTGTCCCTAAATGCAGGTTCTTCTCTCAGTAGCTGCTTACACATTCCCCTGTAAGTAACGCCATTCCCACAAAATACAAAAACTAACTTTAGGTCCTGCTTTGTTGGATCTAATTTCTTGTTCATGCTAGCTTTGAGTAGTGATTTTAATTCTGACACAGATGATGCAGCGAAGACTTTCCGAAATTTGTGTGTTATGTGGCTTCTTCTGCAGGCGGCTGTATAAGCAAGAGCTTGTAGATCAACTGTCTCATCTGCTGAAATCCTCTGATATGTGTCAGCTATGCACGACTGAAGAGATTGATCCGTGGCTGCAGACAGTGGAAGCAGTTTTAGAGGTTCAAGAGTGTGGCTGTCAGAGACTGTTGCTTGAACATACTCACTGATGATGGCATGGGCATTGGTGCCACCAAACCCAAAGCTGTTTAATCCAGCCATCCTTATCCTGGATCCAGAGTAAAGCCATTTTTCAGCTCTGGTGGGGATTTTAAGATTGAGAGATTTAGCATCTATGCTTGAATTTTCTGCTGAGTAGAACACAGAGGGGCCAATAGTTTCATGTTTCATCATTAACAGAATCTTTATGAGTCCTGCCACCCCTGCTGCAGATTCTGTATGTCCGATGTTACTCTTAACAGAGCCAATTAACAGAGGCCCTGAGCTTGAAGGTCTTGCTTTGGCAATGATTTTTGAGATACTTCCTGCTTCAACCGGATCTCCTGCTGGTGTTCCAGTCCCATGAGCTTCTACGTACTGGACATTTGCTAGATAATGCTCAGAGGAATAGATCATGCGCAGTAGAGCCTCCTGCTGGGTCATGGAGGGTTTGGTGATCGGTGTGACAGTGTGGCCATCTTGGTTTACTGCAGTCTTGTTCACAATTCCCCAAATATGATCAAAGTCCTCAAGAGCCTGAAAAGAGACATTTGCCTTATTATAAACCATAAAATTAATTTAATATTATCATTATGAATAATTTAAAAAAGTAAAATATATACCTTTTTCAAAGGCTTCAGGAGGACTATACCACATCCCTCCCCTCTACCATAGCCATCTGCTGTATGACAGAATGGCTTGCTTGTGCCCTCAGGTGAGATCATCTTTGCCTTGCTGAGGGCCACAAAGACTCGAGGTTCAAGGATGCAGCTGACCCCTCCACACAGAGCCATTTCACAGTCCCCTACGGATGAGGTAAAACAAGGATAATTAACAATGTGAATATCAAGCAATGAACAGATTTCAGAGTTAAAATAGTTTCATTACCTTGTCTGATGGCCTGACATGCAGAATGAAGGGCGACAAGGGATGAAGAGCATGCACTGTCAATGGCAAATGAAGGTCCAGTCAGGTTGAAGACAAAGGAAATTCTGTTGGCAGCTACACTCATAGCTGTTCCGGTGCCATTATAGTGGGTTATTGTGCTGGGACAGTTGTTCAAAATTGTCTCATAGTCCCTGTTCATAAGACCTGAAATAAAACACAACACTGTATCAGTATCCTAAAGTTAAAAACAAACAAAAAAGTGAACTTGCATTAGATTTATCTAATGTATGTACCTATGTAAACACCTGTTCTGGTCCCGCTCACTTTTTCCAAGGGTATCCCTGCATCCTCTAGAGCTCGGTATGCACACTGCAGCAACAGTTTCTGCTGAGGGTCCATGTAATCAGCTTCAGCCTCGCTGATGCCAAAGAACTTGTGATCAAACTCATTGAACCTGCAAAAAAGAAACTCTTTTACTTCATCATTTCACCTTTTTAGTAATTATAAACCTCAAATGCATCATCATGAACTGATTATTCCTACCCTTCAATGAGAGCAGCTTTGGTCGTCTGTGTTTTTCCTGGTTTGCTCTCATCAGGATGAAACCACTCTGATGTGTCAAATCTTTCATCTGGAATCTGTTCCACACAGTTCCTTCCCTCTACAAGAACTTTCCAGAAACTATCAACACCCTCACCTGTGAAGGTAGTAGATAGTCATGCAAATGCACACAGCATAGTCACAAAATAAGTAAGAGTACATAACACATAAATACAGTACATTACCTCCTGGGAAGTTGCATCCGATTCCAATGATAGCAATATCCTCGTCCATTTTAGCGATTATTTTTTTTCAAAGATCATTGTGTTTCTTTGCAAAAATTAAAAAAACAAAGCACAAGCATCTCTCAGCTCTGATGGTCTCATCATGGTTGTGACCAGTATTCATCAGCTCCCAGTAACATCTAGGCATTTTTATAAAGCCTTTCACGACTGAAAAACATTTCTTTTAACAAAGGGTCTTTAAATGTGCAATCCTTCCTCTTGTAACCAGTAATTTTGGTGGTTTGAAACAAAACTCTGTAATTACAGACTTGGGTAAAGATGCAAACACTGATTGCAGTTTCCCTCACTGGACACAACAAAGCTATTGTCTTAAAGCTATTGGGGTGATTCTCTAATTCATGATTGGCTTTAATTGGCTTCCATTTAGAAACATGTAACAAATGATGAGAAAAAATGACCTGAATGTGTGTAGACCACCAATTTGAAATAAGATAACCAATGACTATCTCAGCACACCTAACCTGATACCTGCAATTTTCAGACTAAATGGTTTACTGCTAGTCTTTTATTCTGGGCCTCTGAAAAAGATCCATGAAATTAAACCAAATTCATTTCAGTGTTCATTTCAATCTCAAACAAAATCCCAGCTTAACATTCTTACTTTCAGCAAACGACAAGGAAATAAGCTTTTTTTTTTTACTTTATTTATAGTCTTGCCATATTCATTTCTGAGATAAATAGAAATAAACATGTAATTAACTTCAAAAGAAAGCACACTAATAATTTTTCAAACACATATAAACAGTGCAGTCACCTGAGCCATACACACACATGCAGACAACCAAAATGTGGCGGAGGATGGGGCATGAGGCTTTTAGCTACCCCTGGAAGAGTATATTCAAATAAATAACTTAATGAATAAAATCAGGGGATAGTAAGGTCCATTGGAAATATTAGGCAAAAATCTACAGTACTCTTAGTCAATTGTTCAGATACGCATTTACAGATATATTTATTCTATATCTGTAGATGTTAAAATAAAACTGACATTCTGAAGTCACATTCGTAATTGGTTTGTGGTTTAGGGCTGCATGGAAAAAGTGAACAATCTATACTACTATGCTTACTGATAATGGGACAACCTGGTTTGCCATTTGCTTTCAAGTAAAATGCACCATTTATGAGCTTCCTGTTTTTATCCATTCCATAAAATGACTTATGAACAAGTGCTTCAATCTGGTGACTGGGTAACAAATAATAGGATGAATAAAACATATAATGAACATCATCCTCTTCCTGTTATAGCTTCTTAAAACAAAGCAAAGAATTTACATTATTTCATTTGAAACCATTACCTATTGGTTCAGTGCTCAGGCATATGTACTTTTGGCATCAATTTACCTTCTCAAATTAACAGAAAATATATCTGAATTTCTGTTAGCTTAGTGTTTGAAAGCCAACGTGTTGCCTGAAAAATGAAAAATATTAAGAGAGAAGGCTAGAAAGTAATTCAAAAGCCTTTCTTGTTACAAACATTTACATTTACAAGTAAAGTAAGATTGTGCCTCGAAATGTCACTGTTGATCCAAGACTTCATCATCTGGGATCCAGTGACTTTCCCTCCAGGATCATCTGGATTTCCTTTGCATCTAGAGTCTCGTAAGTTAGCAGGGCATCAGCCAGCAGCTTGTGTTCTTCGCTGTAGGTCTTAAGTAGCTTCTTTGCCCTTTCATACGAGTTCTGAAAAAGACAATTAGAAGATGAATTTACACAATCATCAGTCAATCCCTTACAAACAAAAACTAAACACCTACCTGCAACAGCACCCTGACTTCCTGTTCTACAGCAGCCTGGGTCTCCGGGCTGTGGTTCGTCAGGTCACTGTAGGTCATGACCCCCAGCTGCTCAAAGCACAGAGAGGTGAGTGAACTGCAGTTACAGGCACAATAGTAATGCACAAAGGCTTCACACAAGTTTCTGATTACGACAGGATCGTGACGTTAGAGACGGGTGGATGTGAGTGTAGTTTAGACCCTGCATGTGCGCTGCTCATTTTTGGACGTGGAGTATGAACTGAGTGCCGGGGAAGGGATTAGGATGAACACACAGATTTAAGTCTGGAATGTGAGCGCTTACACATCCCTAATGGCTTTGAACACATGGAAGGACTCATATGGCTTCTCCAAACAGCTATTTGCTTGATTTCTTTTTGAATATATTAAATATTTTCACTTAAAATATGATCTAAGTCGAATCCCTTTGACCTACAATATTAACCTGAAGTACCACCTGAGATTTTAAGTTAATATTTCAGTAATTTACCAACACATTTGTGTTTTCATGGTTCTTTGATGTCCGATAAATGGCATGCAGGTTAACTAATTAATTATTTAATTAGTGAGTGTTTTTAAGGTCACATAATGAATTTTTACCTTGTCACTCATTCCAAACTGTGTCACCATCATCTGTGCTATTTTAGTGGCTCCATCAAAATCACTGGATGCGCCTGTAGGAGGAACAAATAAAACATCATGATGTTGATATTTCTAAAAATTCAAAGTAGCAGTGATCAGTTAGGGACACCTCTCACCAGTAGTGATGTGATCATTTCCAAACACCAGCTCCTCAGCAACCCTGCCGCCCATGCTGACGTCCATCTGGGCCAGAAGCTGGGCCCGTGTCTCACTCCAGCGATCATTCTCTGGCAGCAAGGAAACCTGAGAGAGACCAGAGGAACAGAGGACGCGGCACAATAGGTTTATGATGTATAACCCTAGAGAGCAAAAGCTTTAATTTCATGCAGGGCAGGCACGTTCTGCAAACGACTGTCAAATGTTTTTTATTTGTCTGAAGAGTTTTTATTGTGAAATAAACTTCATGTTCAGATCTCAAGGCAGATGTCTGTTTTTTATATGTGAAAATGTCATTCGAAATCTATCGAAACAAAACTGTTAAAGAATAATATTTTCCTTTTTAGAAGCCCATAAGTCGGGGTGATTTCAACTTGCCAAATTCTCAGTTAGGTACTACACTACCCATAATTCAGCAGCAAAAATAGTTTTTTTTCTTCAAATGAAATATTGTACTGAGTGTTTGAATCAAGACTTGTGGCTAGAAATGCATTAATATAAAAAAAATAATACTATAATAATTTTTTTATATTACTGATATCAAAATTCTATAGTATTTTGTTTAAATACATTTCAAATAAAACTCCTAAAAACTAGAAAATTATTTTTATATTCTTGTAACTTTCAATAATCTAATAAAAATAACTTCTAATATAAGTAATATAAATAATAATATAATTCAAAGCATCACAACATGATATTGTATTGTATGAAAAATTTATAATTATTAGAGATTTTAAAAAGATTACATTTAACAGTGTTAATAAATTATTTTATGATTTACTTTAAGTGACCATTATATGATGGCAAATGTAATCTAAATGTAAAAACTGAAATAAGAAATGAGCATGCCAACTAAATATACAACATTAACCTATACTAATAAATTAAACAAAAAACCTCTAGTATCGGCTAATGAACTACACTGTAACAATATTTCACGCATCCAGATTTAGAAATTCTTATTAGTCAATCTGGGAAAAGTGCTTAATGGAACATTAAGACCAGCTACTCACGTGACCAAGTGAAGGGCCACGTGGCATGATGGTAGCTTTGTTGATGGGCATTGCGTCTTTGGTGTTATAAGCCACTATAGCGTGTCCAGACTCATGATAGGCTGTGATCATCTTATTTCTCTTGTCAATCTCCACACTCCGGCGCTTTGGGCCTGGACAGACAGAGAAGAGAATGTCAGGAAAGAATCTCTTGATTAAAGCATTAATCCCCATCACATGTTGCAGAGACTAAGCTGTACGTCCCTACTGGCCTCACCCATCAGGATCTTATCCTTCGCAAACTCCAGCTCCTTCATGGTCACCAGGTCTTTCCCATCGGCTGCTGCTTTCAGCGCTGCCTGGTTCACCAGGTTCTCCAGTTCGGCTCCAGAGAAACCCACTGTTCCCCTAGCAATGATCTCTGCATTGACAGCTACAAAACACACTATGTTATTGGACTGTCTTAACAAGCATCTTGTAAAACATATTTGTTTTTTCTTAATAATTCTTACCAGAATCCACTTGAATTTTTTTCAAATACCACTCCAGGATTTCTGTGCGTCCCTTCACATCTGGTCTTGGGACCGTGACCTGCATGTCAAACCGGCCTGGTCTCACCAGAGCACTGAAATACACATTATCATAAGAAGTTTATAGATTTAGTTTATCACAAATATTTTATAATCCTGACAGTAAAGTGTTAACTAGACAGTTACAGATACATAGTGTTCTATCAGAAAAATACATGTCTAGATGGAAACAGTTCAAAAGCAGTAGATACTACCTGCTACCTGCTTCTTAGTTAAAGATGAATAACAATGGGATTTGTGGTTGTTGCTTTAATGCCTTAAGTATTTCTGCATATGTGAGCTGCTCTAAGAAAATTATGGAGGAACCCACTTGTGAGTCTATAAGCCTAAGCCTACTGTTTGCATTGAACTATAAATATGCCTGCATGTAAAAACATGTAAAAACCTGTCATGTAAATAAAATGTTCACCATATAAAGTGATAGTATCTCTTCACAAGACTTGGATTAACTGGTTGATTTATATGGATTCATTTTACTATGCATTTATAACACTTTTGGATCTTCTAAGTTTTGGTTACCTGACTTCCAACTGAGGGAGAGAAATTTCTCAGGTTTCATAAATATCTCAATTTGAGTTTCAAAGAAGTCTTAAGAGTTTGGACATGAAGGTGAGTAAATGATGACAGAATTTTCATTTTTGAGTGAACTATCCCTTAACGGATGGCTATAGAAACCTACTTGTCCAAAGCTTCAGCAAAGTTCGTAGCTCCAATCACAATGACTCCTTCATTGGGTTTAAACCTGAAATCATCAAAATACTAAAATCATTCAGCCCTGTGCAATTTCTTTCAAAAAGAGGAAATTATATGTAATAAAAAGCGACTGACTTACCCATCCATCTCAGCGAGCAGCTGGTTGATGGTTTGTCGTGAGTATGGGTGCATGGGAGACTCAATTCTCTTCCCTCCTACACTGTCCAGTTCGTCGATAAATATTACACATGGTGCATTAGCTTTGGCTTCCTCTGTTAGAAAAAAC